CACGGCAAACCGGGCCCCCACGGAGGCGGGAGGCTCCAAGGGCGAACCCCCTCCCTACTCGGCATCCCTCCGGCTTGCGGTCCTCCTGCCTGAGGCCGGCGGGAGAGGAGAGGAGCGGGCTGGCCGGCACTTACCCCCGCGGGGCGGGCGGCCGTCTCTCCCCCGCGGTGCTGGGCTGCGGGGCCGGGGCTGAGGCTGAGACTGCGGCGGGCAGGAGGCGGAGTCTGCTCGCAGGCTGCCCGGGCCTGGAGACCGCTCACCATCCCCCGGCCGGGTCCTCCAGACGCTTTGCTGCCGCCATTTTGTCCCTCCTGAAAGACGGTGAAGAAATTTTTTTTTTTTTAAAAAGAGAGAGAGAGAGAGAGAGAGGTGTCGTCCACCACCGTCCCCGCGGCCGCCTCCACCGCGCATGCGCCAGCCCCTTCAGCGCGGCTGAGGGAGGGGGAAAGGGAGGCGGAGCCGGCGGCGGCCGGATCACGTGGCCGCCGCAGCCCAATGGGCGGGCTCGTCTTGCCGACGGCCGGTTGGGCCGCGCATGCTCCCTTGCGGAAGGGACGGGTCTCGCGCCGGCCGTTCGAATTTTCGTCACGTGGCCGGCGCCTCTCTCTCTCCCTCTCCCCCCCTCACGCCCGGCGCCGGCCCGTGTGAGGCGGGAGAGCTGCTCCCGCGGGCCGCGGTGCTTCACGGCCTCAGATTAGGCCTCGGACCGTGGCGGAGGGGTGTCCGAACCACGCGTGGGCGGGGGGGGTCAGGTCGCATCCCGCGCTGGCTGTGCCCGGCCGGGCGCTGACTCACGGGGCAGGGCCGGCTCCCGCCTGGCTTACGGCCGGAGGAGTTGCTTGCCAGGCTTGGTGGCTGACTGACTTATAAAGGCCTTGGCTCGCTGGCTGCCTCGCTCGTGGCCTTTTCTCCCTGCGGTGTAGTAGTAGGTGGGATTAGTGCTGGTGTGAGGCGGCTGGAGAGCAGGTAATGTTCTTCGCTGTAGTGACGGGCTGAAAGCGGTGACTCACTAGCGTTTTTGCATCGTTTACAGACGTCGTGTACTCCCTTAGAATGGTGAAAATGAAGGCAGTCGGTTCTCATGCCCCGTCTTAGGTGGTAGTTTACAGCTAAGACTTGGGTTGCTAAGCCTGCAGGCTGAAACACCTTGACCTAAAATAAAATTGTTTAAAAAGGGTAAGAAATTACTTTTACAAAGACCTTACTCTTCTAAAGCATATAAATTCATTAAACGGGGGGGGGGGGGGGGGGAGCACCCCCTAGCAGAAAAAAAGAGGGACGTATTTTTTTATCATATCTAGGACTCTTAACATTCCTGAAACAGACCTACTCCCCAGTTGTGTTATGTAGTTTTAACCTTCAAACAATGTATTTTCACCATATGTTTTTCTTCTTTATAAAATGTACAAATATTTTGAACCATCTTCAGGTAATAACTTGGTAAACTCATTTTACCTGCCCTCTTGGGGTTTCAGATACACTGTTTTAAAATGTGTCTCACTGCATAATGATGGCATAAGCCAGTGTTAATGCCTTGAATTTAAAATTAAATGTTTCCTAAGTATCTCATAGCACTTGCTGTCGAAGATAGGATTGTCACAGTACCATTAAAATTTTTCTCTAACTGGCACTCGATTTAGATCCCATTTATGTTTAGATGCCATCAGTGACTACATGTGTTTTTAGTATTTCCTTTAGTCCAGGAACACAAAACCCATTTTCCTTTAGCCTTTTGTTGCATTGTCTATCTGGCAGCCCTTTTCAAAAGTTCTACTCTTTTGCTTAAAAAATAAAATCCTTGAAATATCCCTATTACCTGTGGTAAATATACCACCTGTACTTGCTCTCCTGCAGGCTCCTAATAGTTTAAGGTTATCCTTTCCTGGAGTTTGGGTGCATTCTAGTTTGGCCCTTCATAGTTGCAGCAACAGTCAGAGATGCAGTCTTTCAAAAGAGTTTCTACAACAACTGCTCTCTGCTGCTGTTAGCACAAACAATGCGCAAGGCTCTGTTACTAACAAACGCTGTGACCCTATTGTCCGATCACACCAGAAGATTTATAGATTTTCAGGTCTGTGTTCCTGGACTTTTTTGTCTAAGCCATGGAGGTTTCTCCCTGAATTTCATGTTGTTTGGGTTGTTTAGCCCCCAAACCTCAAAGTTGCTTCCTTCTGCAGGCAAACTCTCTCGAGTTTCTGCTTAGAGAGCTTTTTTCCCCTCTAATTTTTAAAGACTGACTTGGTGCTAGTATTTTTTGCTTGCTTTCCCCTCGCTCTCTTTGAAATGTGGGAAGAACACCTTTCGTTCTGGCTGTAGCTACTGTTGTATTCAGCTGCTGTCTGACCTCTGTGGTTGCTGGGAGCTGTTAATGGCTGCTCTGTTTGTACCCCTCCCAGGATCCTTACACTCTGCACGGAAGTTAGTTCTTTAAGGCCACGCAGATAGCAGTACAACAATGAGTAGATAACCCTAATCAAGTATAATTTGCATAAACATGCAGAAACATTCCATGTTCTCCCTATGAGTTCTGGATCAGATGGTCCCCAAACAATATGCACTTTTTCGTTGTCCTTCCTAGTAGCTATGTTGAGGCTCAGTGTAATACAAAACAAGAAGGGTGTCTGTGGGTGAGGTCAGTGCTATTTATAGGTATTTTTTGTTACCTGTGTTCAAAAATGCTGAGGTGAGAATGAAACTGTGTCAAGAGAGATGATAAAGTGGTCAGTGAAGCCAAGTTTCACGTCTGCAGATGCCAGCAGGCAGGCATGGCTGCAAGAATACGAAAGCAAAGAGCCTCAGGCATTCAGAGAATTCTGCAGTTTTAACTAGACTTCATCTGTCCTGCCTTCGCCGGGTCACATTGTTTCCCCATTCCTTCTTTCATATTCTCTGAATTCAGCTCAGTTTCCTTCAGCTCCCGTCCTTTTACCTTTTCCTGTGCCATGCCCCCCATATAGACCCTATTGACTTTTTTTCCCCCAACTGTCTCATTCTCTCTCTCCACATAAAACCATTATGCTTTATTCCTTTGTTTTATACCACATTTCTCTATCCTGTGCTCTTCTGAAGCATGCTGCTTGCAAAGCTCTGTAGGGTTAGTATTCTTTCTTTGAGTGGTGCCTGCCACACAGAGGAGCCCCATTCTTGGTTGGGTTTCAAAGACAAACATAAAAAAGTGACTAAAGAGAGGATGCTGCAAAACACAGTTTAAAGGAGTTTAGTTAAAAGGAAGTTTTAGAAGGCATTTTCTTGAGGTCTTTATGATGGTCATGGTAGAATAGGATGATCTTACTTTTATGTCATCTCATAATATAAAAACAGAGGTTCAGCTTAGTGAAATACTACAGTCAGTCGGTGCTGAACACTTAGAAGTTGTTCAGAAGAGCAATTGGCCAGTGGAAATTCCTCCCAGTGGAAGGCAGTGACATAGCTGGTGCAACTGAAAAGAGTTTTAAGAATGAGCACATAACTTTATAAATCCCAGAAAGAAAATGAAAAGTGTATCATCACCTCAGAAATAAAAGGAACAGGCCCTCCACAAACGCAGAGTGTGGAATAACTGGTACAACAGAAGCAGGCTGGGGAGGCCTGGGGGTTTATAGCAGACCGCAAGCACTGTTTTACAATATTCTAAGAGGAATTAGGGCTTGGAAGTTTACTAATGAGTAGAGTCAAATAATTACAAGCCCTCAGGTGAAATACTTTGTCCAGATCTGTTACAGGCTACCAAGGAAAAATAGCTAGCTATTCATCATTAGAACTTTTAGTTACCGGTTAATGGCAAATATCTTTCAGTTACCTTTTTTATAATTTCTGGAGGTCTTGTCCAGCATTATTCTTGTATGTAGTTAAGGTGTACTTTGAGCAATTTCAAGGTACTGTGAGGATACCCAGGTACGCCTCCAGGCCGATCTGGTTGCAAAGCAAAATGATGTGACAACGTAATAACTGTCAGAAGCAAAATGCCTGTGCAAATCTTAAAATGAGCAAACTTACACCAAAATATATCTACTTCTGTTTCAGAAAGAACATACTCATTAAGAAATGCATGGGAACATACAGCATTTTCATGCAAAATAACAAATTTCTAAAGGCAACCCCCATATGATTTATGCAAACAGTAGATTTATTGCTGTATTGTCTTCCTACTTGCTTCTGTTTTTCTTTCCATTTTCTTCCAGTACTCTGTGTTCTCTGAGTCAGGGACCTGTACAGCTTATTTACATGTGCAGTCTCCCAGCGACATTCACAGTGCTTCTTAAATAGTTACATAAATTATCAGTTCAGTTTATAAAGTTTTTAGGATAGGCAATGTTTTTCTTAGTTTTGTACAGGACCCAGCACATTGAAATCCAGACAGAAGAAGTATTTGTGTCTGCATAATAAACACACGTTAGAGTAATCACAAGAGGAATTCTCCACTATGCGTACTCTTTAGGGCAGCTTTTTAACACAGTTAATATGGCGCTATATAGGATGTCATTTTCTCAACAAGTTATGCTACAGGTTGAAGTTAGCCTTTACTGAACTCATACGTCTTAAAGATTGGAGCATAAACTACAGCTGAAGTAAATTGGGAAAGAAAGAGCTGATATTTTGGCATAGTTGTATAAATGTGTATTTTTCTGCTCCTGTAAATCACCTCTCTTGACGACATTTTCAGGAATGGTTTTGTGCAAGTCTCTTGCTGGGTCCCAACTTCTGATACCCTGAGCACTTAAAAACTGACAGAGGTAGTGACCTGGCCCAAAACAAGAGGTTTGACATCTCTAGTCATCTTTTAAACATTCATTTATGAATACATTTTGCCTGGTTTATTACTCACCTTTTAGTACAGTATGGTAGACAATTACATAAAAATACAAAGCTATCTATTTCTAAATAACTTGTAGTGTAAATTGAGTCATCCCTGCTTTATGTCACTTTGTTGTTGTTACATTTCATGAAAGTTATATACCATTTTCTTCCCAGAGTGCTTTCTTGTACCAAGTCTTGAAATATTACCACCTGATGTGTAATGCTTTTTTCATTGGATGCAATAGCACTAAATTTAGGTGTTGAATCTAATGTGCTAACACATTTGAGCAGTCTTAAACTCAGTTGGCCTGTTCAAAGGTGTGGGTGTTAAGAGGGTCAAGGTCTTACTCTGAGAGACGCCGAACTGAAGTGAGCTCT